ATATATATATATATATATATATACACACTATGTATTTATATGAAATACCTTTTTCTCTCTATTATACACACACACACATATAGAACTTACATGAACATATGTGTGCTTGAGTGTTTGTATGTGCACCAGGTGCATGCAGGAACATGCAGAGGTCAGAAGAGGGCACCAGACCTCCTGGGATTGGAGTTACAAGTGGTTGTGACCTGCCCTGTGAGGGCTGGGATCTGAACCTGGGCCCTCTGCAAGAGCAGTAAAAACCCTTCACCACCGAAGCCATCTCTCCAGACCCCTGATGGTATAACTGAGGGAGGTGGGAAGCTCTAAAATCGCCCAAGCACAGCCCGACTGTCGCAGATGACGGCTGCCCACCTCCCTCGGCCTCCGTTATCTCCGTTATCAGTAGCCGGCCCTGCACTTGTCGGTCAGTGATGACTCAGCAGCGCTTACTACTTCAGACACTGTGGGTGAGTTACTCTCTCCCAGGTTGCCTGGCATACAACCGATGCTGCTATCACTGATGCTAAGCTGGGCTTCTCAGACTCTACTTCAGACACCCACAAGCTCCCGCCGAGCTTGTAGCGCCCAGAGCTGGCCCTGGAAAAGCAGGCGTCAACTGATAATTTCTTTGTGAATCACTGCGTTTCTCCATATATTGAATTAGGAAAGGGAGCGATTTCTTTTTTAATTTTAAAGCGCTCTCTCTCCCTCTCTCAATCTGTGTGTGTGCAGGGGTTCACACACCTCAGGAAGCACATGGAGTTCATAGGACAACCCGCAGGGGTCAGTTGCCCCCTTCTGTTGTGGGTAGGGGACAGAGACCAAACTCTGGTCCTCAGACCTGCTTGGCAAGTACTTTTACCTGGTGAGCCAAGAACTGATTTCTAAAGGTCAAGTAGGAAGCTGCTTACTTGTGTGTGACCCCGACCCTGCACAGGTCCCCTCCCAACACTTTATCACGGACATGTCAAATACACAGAGATCTTTAAAGTGGACGGTGAGGCAGGTGTGGCGGTTTGTGCCTCTAACCCAGCACAGAGGCAGGGGGATTGTGAGGTTGAGGCTGGGAGAGAATACAAAGGGAGCTGGAAAGATGTCCACCGAGCTACAAGCACTGGCTTCTCGGGTTAGTACAGGACTCAGGTTTGACCATCCATGACCCTGTTTCCGGGGGGTTGGATGCCCTTTTCTGACCTTCGTGGGCACTGTGGGCACACAGTGTGGAGACATAAGAAGCAGGCAAACGCCAGACACATTAAAAGAAAGACAAGAAAGGAGCAGAAACGGAATTCCTATGAGCTCACCACCGGGATTCTGTAACCCATAGTTTGCTGTTATTATTATCATCATTATTAGGTTTTGGGGGGGGGTTGAGACAAGTTCTCAAGGTAGCCCAGGCTGGCCTCAAACTCAGTGTACAGCTGAGAATGAGCGGCTCTGGCTTTGCTTTCCAGTCTCCACCCCTGGGATGACAGGCATGTACAGCCATGTCCAGCTTGCCATGTTTTCTGTCCCATCTGCCCATCCATTCACACTTCTGTCTTACAAAATAAGTTCCACACAGTTAAAACAAACAAACAAACAAACAAACAAACAAACACTTCAGTGACATCAGACATTCCTAAAACATTGATGATAATGCAGCTCTCTGAATTCTAACCAAACTCCACTCAAGCGCCCAGGAGCTAGCTCAGTGCCTGGTTGAAGAACAACAGCTCTCACTTGCGTTTCTACTGAGAAACTTGTGGGGAGTAGTTATGGAGGCTGGGGATAGAAACCCAGAATCCTCTGTCTGTGGCGTGAGGACACTCCGGGTCTCTGCTCTCTATCACTGTCCTGCACCGAGCCTAACCAGGGCTAGGCATTCAAGGTTGACCTTGAACACCTTCTGGGAGCTGTGTCCACAGCCGTGCACCACCAAATCCACCAGCATTGGGGCCCTCTGCCACCCTGACCGTTTCGGTCAATTCCATGTCCCGTGCCCAGAGCTGCCACACCGGGCAGATAGAAGTGTTCGGTAAATTCTTACTGAATGAGAGGGCAAATGATGCCTCAAAGGAAGCTCTGCCTGTAGCAGTGGAAGGTGCTTCTTTTCATTTCCCTCTTCAGGATCAGTCCTAGATGGAACTTTGGAAGCTCAAGTCTGTTCCCCTCATTGCCTTGGTCTGGCAATGTTTCTCTACCTTAGCCTGGCCCTGTATGGTCCCCCACCTGCCTGAAAATACTGTAGACATCTGAGGGTGTTAAACTGTGGATTGGTTCCTTCTTGATACCATGACAAGAGCCAAACAGCTTCCATCAGACACGGGTTAGAGGCGGGTTAGAGACAGGCTGTGGAGGAGACATTCTGTTGAGGGCTACTGGCCTGTGAGCCAGCGGTACACTTTCCTCTGTTATAGCTGGGCAGTGAGGTCAAGCAAGGGGACCTCTCTGACCACTGGCGGGTGACCCTGTAAGGGAGAGTCCCCTCCTAATCCCAGCTGCACCAGGTGAAACAACCCGGAGCCTGAAGTCTCCATCCAGATGCCTCTGGGGATAGGGTGTGCCTGCTCTTGAGGAGGAAGGATTGGTGTCTGAGCAGCTGCCCTGAAACTGGAGGCTGGATTGGAGCGCTCCGGGCGGGGACACGCCTCCTCCCGTCACTCTCTGCCGGTCATCCCTGGGCCCGCGCTCACCTGGCAGGAGGAGGAAGCTGGCGCTCTGTCCTCCTCTGAGGGCCCGGTGGGCTGGGAGCTGCTGGCCAGCTCCAGGGCGAGGCGGCCCGCCGCACTCTGCCGAATCTCCAGCCTGGCTGGCACCCCGCGCGCCTGCTGGGCGTGTGTACGCGCGTCACCGTGGAAACCGGACAGGCTGGGCCAGCAGGTGAGGGGCGTGGCCTGGGCGGGGGCGTGGCCTGCGTGGAACACCCGCTCGGCGTGTGTGCAAGTACATGTGTGTGCAGAGAGGGGCTCCGGTACGACTTTTAAGCATTCCAGGCAGGCCGACAAGGCCTCATTTCACAGATGGAGAAACAGAGGCCACCTGAGTTTTTGTAAAAGACTGACTAAGGAGCTGAGAGGGAGAGAGGGAGACAGGTCCGGTGGGAGGTTGGGGAATCTTGAAGGTCAGCACCCAGACTTACCCAAGCCCACCCGCTCTGGGGTTAGGACGGTGTTGGGCATGAAGTGAGCGAGCCAGTCAGAATCAGGATTCTTTTTCTGAGCTAGGGAGCAGCTGCTTCTGACCTCACAGCCTTTCGGTCCTCATCCTTGCTTCCCCATTACAAGAGACTCACTGCCGTTCTTTGTCTATGTATCGCCAGGGGCCCTGTACACCTTAGACTGTGGCTCCCAAACCTGACTTGCCTGCCCAGCGGACACAGGACCAGGGATGTCTTGAGGAGGCTGGCCTCTATGTGCATCCGTAGGCAAACTTCACCCCAGTAAAGATCTGCTCATGCTCCTGAGCTCAGCTCAGCTCATGGAACAACTGCCCAGGGTCAGCTCCATCCCCAGTGAAAGAATGCCAAGCTCCCAGCCCAGCTGACCTTCAGAGCTGCTGGAATAGAAGGCGCCTGAGCCGGATCAGTCCTACCAGCCCCCCCACCCCCTGCAGGCATAAAATTCTCCAGCCTGATTCCACGCAGTCCACGTTCATTTGGGAAATAGCAAAAACCATTTTGACCACATGGGGCTTTATAACGGGGCTTCCTGGGTGAGGGCCTTCCACTTAAACAGCAGTGGTCTATTGCTGTCTCTTGCTGTGTAGACGCCAGGGCCCAAAGCAGCTTGAGGAGGAAAGGGTTTCTTACATGTTTCTGATCACAGCTCACTGGGGAAGCCAACTCGGGCACTCCAGGCAGGCATCTGGAGGCAGGAACTGAAGCAGGGCCCACGGAGAAGCACTGCTTACTGGCTTGCTCAGGTTGCTCCCTTACACCGCCAGGACCACCTGCCTAGGGGTGATGCCACCCACAGTGGGCTGGGCCCTCCCACATCAATCATTAACCAAGGGAATGCTCCCACAGGCTTGTGCAAAGGCCAATCTGATGGAGGCATTTTCTTAATTAAGCTTCCTCTTCCAAGATGATTCTAGATTGTGTCAAGTTACAAAACAAACAAACAAAGTCAGCACAGCGCTCGCTGCACACAGGTTTTGAGGAGGCACGAATGTCTGGCAGCGTGAAGGCAGTGTCACGGTGAAATGTCTGCTTGGTACATAGAGAAACCACCGAACTTGTCCACACGACTGCTGGCATTTCATCTCTGCCAGCCATGTAGGAGATGGGTCCAGACTCCTGGCCAGCAGCGAGTGCTGTCCATGACTGTTTCATTTTAGGTATTGTGAGAGTGATGAAGGCAGCGTTAGTCTCCGTACTTGCCTCATTTCTGATTCTAGGGAGAGGACATTCGGCATCCTGCCATTACGTAGCAGGTCAACTATAGCATTTCTGGAAAGTTCGCCTAGTCTTCGAACAAATTCGACCGATTCAACAACAGCTCATCATACCTCCTACTCACTCATAGGCACCGAAGCTGACAGCTGTCACAACAGGAAGAATGACACATGCTTGCTACCTGCTTCCCTGCCTTCTGGGTGGAGACAAAGCATTTTGAGAAGGGTCATGAGGTAAGAGGGGCCATCTTAGCCCCCCACCCCATTCTACCTGCTCTATCCTGGAAGTCTAGCTTCCCTACTGTAATTTCAGTCCTGACCAAAATCTCTCTCCTGCCACTTTTCCTTGGTTGTCCTTGTCCTCTCCCTGGAGACCTCTGCATGCTTCTCTTTCTGCTCTGGCATTCCAACAGGAGGTGAATGCTGGCATAGTTGAATCCTCCCCTCCAGCCAGCAGGTGTGTGTGTGTGTGTGTGTGTGTGTGTGTGTGTAGGAGGCTCCATGGTTGGCTCGAAGGAAGTTAGAGGTTCTGTGCCCTGGTCCAGCAGGCCCTCACAGGCTTCCTAGATGCTTCCAGAGTCAATGATCAACATTGACTGTCCCATTTGGATGGACTCCTCCTGGATCGGGATCACCCAACTCCCAGGCCCCCATGCTGACACTCAGATTATGTGGAACTAGATGACGAACACACAGAGGTCTTTCTGTTCACCCGACATCCCAGGTGCGCAGCGCAACGCCTGGTGTGAACGACACCCCATATCATTTTTTCTTTTACTTTAATTGAGTGAGTTAGGTATGAGGGGACTGAGGGGAGGACCCTGGAGAGGTGGGAGCCACTGGGATGGGGAGGAGAAAGGTGCCCCCGGCTGGGGTCTACAGTAGCGGAGAGCCCAGAGCAGACGTTATATTTTTAAGCATTTTACTTATTTGGGGGGAAAGGCAGTGGCACGTGTGCCCCCAGTGCTTGGGTGTGGAGGTCAGAGGGCAATCCAAGGGACTCGGTTCTCTCCTCCCACTACGTGGGACCCAGGGATTGAACTCCGATCATCAGGCTTGGCATCGGGCACCTTTACCAGCTGAGCCATCTCATCCGCCGAGCCTGAAGCTTTTGCAGGCTTCTGAAAAAGGAGAAGGACTGGTGAGGTCAGCCTCAGCAGTTCCATCACTCACAGAAGCTGCGGGCCCCAGAGAAGGAGGCGTGGGGTCTGGACTGTGTGCCCAGCGACTTTAGAAAGTGAGAACAGATAGCTCACTCACCGGTGACTCATGAATGGCACCTGACTCCCTGTCCACTTGGGCCCACAGTGGCTCTCTGAGGCACCTTTCATGGAGGTGCTCTTGTCTCTGTACAGGAAATTCTAGAAGGCCGTGGTGGGTGGGTGTCTCTGTCAGCAGCAGAGCCCGTCGTGTGAGAAAGCTAGTCAGCGGCTTGGTATGACCTCCCCGTTTGTCCCCCCTCACCTCCAGGGTGATGTGTGGCATTTCACAGGATGCACTCCACATGGCCTCTGTCATCTCAGATCTGCGAGGTGGGGTGTGAAGTGGCTGTTTTGGGTCATTCCTGGCTCTAACATTTCCCTTCCTTCCCCAGCAGGTTGCCTCAGGCCTCTCCGGTCATTTTATCCTCCTCAGGTTTCCTCTGAATCATTTCATTTGAACCGATGGCGTCCGGTCCCCTCCCCCCACTCAGCATCGGCTTTCTGTTGGTCTGAGAACAATCGCTCTTTTCTTCCTGAGCCCTCATCCACCCTCATCTTTTGCTTCATCTTCTCATCTCTCCTGGGAACCGGCTGTTGTTCAGAAACCTGAGCCTCAGAGACTGTCCTTTCTAACCCAGTCAAGAGCAGAGAGTTGGGACAATCCTGGTCCCTGGAATCCAGAAGAAGCACCCTTGCTCTGTGGGCCTCAGAACCGGAGTGGGGGGGGGGGGGGGTCGGGGGGGTTGTTCTTAAATGACTCCCAACATTTATGTGTTGAAGTTTTCATCTCTAGTTCCAGGTGCTATTGAGTCAGGAGAGCATGCTTTTGAGGGGAATCTCTCTCTTCCTCTTTCCCTCCCTCTCTTTCTTCCCCCTCCTTCCCTCCTTCTCTCCTTCCCCCTCCTTTCCAGAAGCTATACAAACTGGCTTTGCCACACACTCTCAGACCCGATGCTCTGCAATCCTGACACATGGGGCCAAGCAATCCTTAAAACCATGAGCTCACACAAACCTTTCCTTTTTTTGGAAATTGATCATCCCAGGTGTTTTTTAACAATGAGGGGAAAGCTGAGGGACAGTCTTCTGCCTGCAGTAGTGTCTGAGGGGTCTGAAGAGGAGCATTTGACCTGAGTCTCCAAAAACTGACAGGATTTCTAAGTTTGGAAAGAGAGAGAGAACAGGAGGTGGAGGAAGGGGCTGAGGGAATAGAGGGTGGGGGACAGGCTGAGTGTCTGTGAGGTGAGGAGGCAGGTACTGAGACCTACCTACCAAAGATGGCCCCTGGTCGGCTCTCAAGTTTGCTGCTTTTCATATTGTATCAAAAACTTTCTGCAGTGTGAGAGAGGCCAGTGTGAGAGAGTGTGTAAGAGAGTGTGAGAGAGTGACTATAGATGCATCATCGGTTTCTACTGCTCTTTAGAGACCAGCAATCATTGCAACCCTAGAGAGAATTTCTGGAGAGTAGTCACAACAGGGCTGCCACAGTTCCAGCCCTTGCAACTCTCTCAGCTTTGAATCCCAAAGGGAACAGTGAGGTTTCTCTGCCATTCCTCTCCACCCAGGATTCACACGTCCCACTTTCTCTGATTGGGTCACATTCTATCCCTACAGCTAGAGACTGAGAGACTGGCCAGAGACTGATAAGGGCATGAGGCTTGGAGGACATGAGGCTGGAATCCTCAGCACCTGTGCCAAAACCTGGGCGTGGTGAAGAAGGAGGTAACCTCCGAGGAAGGACTGAAACATTGTGGCGTTTACACAAAGGCCAAAGTGGGCAAGCCATTTTCATTTGCTTTGAAAATCTGGATTTATAAATTTTTTTAAAATTTGCATTTGTGTGTTTTGGGGTGGGGTGCACAGGCCAGAGAATATTCGGGTGTCCTCTTCCGTCTCTTTCTGCCTTGTTCCTCCGAGATAGGGGTCTCCCTTTGAGCCTGGAGTTCCCTGAAGGCTTGACTGGAGGCTCCAGCTCCTACCCTGCCTCTGCCCCACTCCCGGGCACTAAAGTTACAGCTGTCCTCAGCACACTGCACTTTGTTTTTCCGTGGGCACCGGGGATTCAAACTCAGGTCGGCACGCTTGCACGGCAGGTGCTCATATCCGCTGAGCCCCCTTCCAGCCCTGGGTGTGCAGGGCCTGGAAAGCCAGGTCACTGACTGGACTCTCCCCGAATACCGAGCAGCAGCCTGCCCCAGTCTTGGGCTGCCCGCCGTCTGCACACGTGTGCACCCAGTGGCCTCCTTCTCCGGGTTCTGCAGGCCCTTCTCAGCCATCTTGACTGTGTAGAGGGATATGTTTCTCCCCACAGAGTGGGCACGTCCAATGTACGAGTATCCCATCGCTTTCTCCTTGGGGACCCACAAGCCCCTGGGGTCAAATGTCTGGCCTCGTCTCCTCCCACTCCTTACCATCTTATTGTGATGTCGGGGACGGGTGGGGGCTCAAGATCTGTCCGGCCATCTCCCCTGCACTTCATCCCCAGAGCTCACCGTCACTGTCGCGTGACCGTCATCGGTGTTTCCCCTTCAGGGCCCCTGGGTTCTGTCTCCGGAAGATAGAGAACTCACTTAAAAGGCTCCTGGTCCCCAGTGGGCACAGCGCTTTGGAGAACGTCGGTTTAATATGGACATCTATGTTAACTTCACTTTTAAAGTGTTAATTTTGCGTCGTGTGTGTGTGTGTGTGTGTGTGTGTGATGCCTTTACGTGCGTGTTGAATGTGTGGTGTGTGTGTGTGACTGTGTGGGCATGTAGCGTGTGCCCGTGTGTAAGAGCGTGTGTGGTGTCTGTGTATATATTTGTGTAGTGTGTATGTGTATATAGCGTGTGTACGGTGAGAGCACATACGTGTGATGCGTGCACGCGTGTGAATGTGTGTGACATGTGTGTGAGTGGGTGTGTGTTTGCGAATATGTGTATATGTGTGTGAGTGGGTGTCTATGGTGTCTGCAGGTAGCGTGTATAGGTAGTATGTGTTTGTACGTGTCTGCCTTTGGGACTGTTTACCTACAAGGAAATTGTTTTCTTATGGCAAAACCTCTGCAGCTTAAGGGAAGCAGAAAAGAGAGTTGAATCCTGTGTGCCCTATTCAGTCTTCCACATTTTCCAAGCTTGTTCACTGTCTCTTCCTCTTTTTATTTGCCCCCACCCTCGAAGGGTAACTTTAAACCAGTGGGGCCACCTCGTCAGAGGCGCTCTCTCATGGAGAGAATCTCGATTTTCCCCCACTCTATCCCCCTGTGAAGTTGTCACCGCCAACCAAGCTAATGACGATTGGTGCCCATTGGACTTCTGGCTCAGGCTATTTCCAGGTTCTTTCTCCGGTGTCCTCTTACTGCTGCTTTGCTAGTGTCACGGTCTCAAAGCCACATTTGACTGTTGTACCCCGAAACCTCTTTGTTCTACAGCAGTCCTCCTACCCCATGTCACTGCGTAGCCCAGGCTGGCCTCAAACTCTTGATGCTCTTTTCTGTGCATCTAGAGAGCTGAGGCTGCAGATGGCCCACCCGACACTGGCTTGTCAGGGACTCTGGGTCTTGGTCTTTCTTGGGGTTGGAATGAGAAATGTCCCCCACAGGCACATGCATCTGAATACTTGGTCTCCAGTTGGCGTCGCTGTTTGGGGAGCTCATGGACCCCTTCGGTGGAGGAAGTATGTCACTGAGGGTGGGCTCTGAGGTTGGATAGACTGGCCTCGCTCGCTGTTCTCTCCCTCCGCTCCTTGCCTCCCAGGCCAGCCCCACGCCCCTGCTGCCAGGTGAGGGCATGACGGGCTGTACGGCTCTGGAACTGCAAGTCAGCATCAACCCTTCCGCTCCTAAGTTGCCTTTTGTCCGAGTATTTCATCTATCACAACAGAAAAGGAACCACGCAGCCCTGTAGACTCTCCCGCCCGGGTCTGGCTGCTCCTGGGAGCCTCAGTGCTCCCTTCTGGTCTAGTTGTTAGATCCAGAAGCCTGCCTAGGCTCAGCTGTCCTGTTCTGTGAGTTCTTTCCAGCTAGGCTGTGTGATTCCACATCCCACCCTGAGCACAAAAATGTCTGGTTTGCGTAGTCGGTGGGAGGCCGGGTGCAGCGCTGCTGTCCTGCATGTGGGCATCAGCGTGCCTCCAGCTCTGCTCTTTTTAAAATGTTTATCTATCTTGTTTGTTCATTTATGTGTCAGTGTGTGTGTGTGCATGTACATGCATGTGTACATGTATGTGTATTAGGTAAGGGTGTGGTTTTTTTTTTTTTCTATTTCTGTGAAGAAAAATGCCATTGAGATTTCTGTAAAAATTGTACTGCCTGTAGATAGCTGTGGGTTGTCTGGACGTTTTAAAGTATTGGTGTTTCCCATCCATGAACATGGGGCGTCTGTTCATTGTTCATTCATTGTTCCAATGGCATTTTGTAATAGTCACCGCACGAATCATTCGCTTCCTCGGTGACATTGGCTTCTAGGTGTTTTATCTTTTGTTGCTCTTGTGAATGGGATCATTTTCTTGACTTGTCTCTTAGCATTTTGTTGTTGGCATATGAAGGAGCAGCTGGGTTAGGCTGTTTTGCATCCTGAAATTGCCATCATCATCATCATCATCACTTGAGATAAAATCTCCTGCTGTGCTCTTCACAGGTTTAGGGATAGTCCTGACTGGGGTGACAAGGGAATAAAGAAACAATGACACATAGATACACAGACACACAGACAGATAAGCTGGGCTGTGCACTGTGATGGAGTTGCACACAGACTCACAGACATGTACAGAAAAGCTGGGATCAGATGGGCCGTGCACTGTGATGGAGGTGCACACAGACTCACAGACATGTACAGAAAAGCTGGGATCGGGTGGGCCGTGCAGTCTGATGGAGGTGCACACAGACTCACAGACACGTACAGAAAAGCTGGGATCAGATGGGCCGTGCACTGTGATGGAGGTGCACACAGACTCACAGACACGTACAGAAAAGCTGGGATCGGGTGAGCCGTGCAGTCTGGTGGAGGTGTCCCACCAACACCAGCAGAACCCCAGAGTGTTTACTGCACACACAGGACTGGAGGAGGCGGGCTGACTGTATACAGCAGAAGAAGGGCTGGCTACGCTAGTCTTCATGGGAGGACTCTGTAAGGGGGCAGACTCAGCTGTAACCCTCCCAGAGGAGGAAGCTGTGCTTGGTAGTTTCTGCTCACACCAGGTTCAGCTAAAGGTCAATCATTTGTAGCACCCATACCAAGACTGAGGAAGGCTTTCCATGCCTGGGTCTCACTTTTTTTTTAATAGCCTTGTTTTCTTTTTAAAGAAATACACACAATTTAAAAGTTCCTGCTTTATCCATTTTAAAAATTTATTTTTATATGTTTTAAAATTACTTGCGTGTGTGCATGCCTTTGTGTGTGTGTGTGCCTGTGCTTGAGGTTGTGCATATATGTGTGAGTGTGTGTATGTACATGTGTGCATGCATGCGTGTGTGTGTCTGTGTGTACTGATGTGGAAAGACCAGCGCACTGTGGGTAGCACCATTCCCTAGACAGGGCCCTGAGCTGTACAAGATGGAGAAATCGAGCTGAGCCCAAGCAAGCAAGCCGCCATGCATGCATTCGCCTGTCTTTGATCCTGACTGTGGGTGTGACAGGATTAGCTGTTTGAGTATCTATTTCTGTCTTGACTTCCCCGAAATGACGGGCAGTAACTTGGGATTGTGAACTAAAATAAGCCCTTTCTTCCCTAGGTAGTTTTGTTTTCAGGGTGTTTTATCACAGCCTCAGGAGTGAAATGGGAACAACCACGTAGGTGTGCTTCACCCACTCGAGCCACAGTTAGGTCTGATGCTCACAGGGTGCCCGGCTGGGTTCCATGGGTGGGGGTGTTTCCTGTGTCCTTCATTTTCCTGTGTGGAAACCACTGAGCCTTTCCCGATAACTGATGATATTTGTGTAGTGTCTGTGGCCTTACGGCATGACGACAGGAACGTGAGGCCGCCAGTCACACGGCATCCACAGGCGGGAAACAGAGAGGGACGGATGCCAGTGCTCAGCTCCCCTGTCCTGTACTCAGTCTGGCTTCCCAGCCCACGGGATGACACTGCCCACATGCAGAGTGGACCTTCTTTGATTGTGTTGCTCTGGCTTGCTTACAGACATGCCCTGAGGTTTGCCTCGTAGATGATTCTAGCTTCTGTCTAGTCATCAATCAGCATTACCATCATGGTGGATCTAACCTCAAAAGACCTACAGCCAGGTGCCATCTTCTTAAGGCTCCACAGCCTTCAGGTGGTGACACACGCCAAGGACCCACCATTTAAAACATAAACCTATGAGAGAGATTTTAGATTCAAACCATGACAACCCAGTGACCAATGTCCTTCAGCTATGCCCCAACTTTCTCGGGGATCCACCATCTTCCAGGGGTACCATCTTCCTGCCCTTGGGGACAACTTAGATTCAAACAACAACAGCCCACTTGGGAGGAGCTCTTGGCATCTCGTAAGTAGAAGCTGAGGGCGCTGCTGGCATCCCTTCAGTGAGCACCCTTAGGTCAGGGTCATCCAACCCCAAAGGTGAAGCAGTCAGTGGGAAACCATCAGTCGAGATAAAACTGTATTCATTCAGTTCCGTGTGTACTCAATGGAAGGGTGTATAAAAACGGACTCACCTGAGGCCAGGGGTGAGTGTGACTCAGTGGGAAGAGAGCTCACCTTGAATGCACCAAACCCTGGCTTGAGCTCACCTTGAATGCACCAAACCCTGGCTTTGAGCCCAGGCGTGGCATAAAAGGGGTGAGGAGGCACGCTCATGTCTGTAACCTCAGAGGAGGCACGCTCATGTCTGTACCCTCAGCTCTCGGGAGGTAGACCAGACATTCAAGGTCACCCTCGGCTCCTTAGAAAGTTCAAGGCCAGCCTGGGATATATGAGCCCCTGTCTCAGAGGGGGAAAGAACACAGCTAAGTATTCCAGTCTCCGTAACGCAGAGCTGTGGGACAGCCTGCCTTCAGCACATTTACGGAATGCAGCCATTGATGTTCCTCCACAGTCTCTATTTTGATCTTATTTCTGGCTCTGACATGGCCCCTAGAGACCTTTCTATTATTGGCTTAAGGAAAAGATTAATGCACACTTTTTACTGCTTTCAGCAAATGGAAACATTTTAAATTATAGGGTTTTTTTTAACCTGGAAAATAAACATAAAAACCAAGTCTTTGTGGTTTCCATTGTGGGCTTGTTTTTTTTTTTGGCAATTTGATGGATGAAATGAATGGTCTTTTGATGGATGAAATGAATGTTCTTAATCGACTCAGCGTTATCTTTAAAAATCATTTGTTACTGTGTGCTTGTGTGCATGGCATGCATGGCTGAGAGCACACGCCACGCTTTGCATGTAGAAGTCAGAGAACATATGTGGATGCCGGGTCAACTAGATATAGACTAGATTCATGCAACAGGAAGAAACTCTAATTGAGAAAATGGCTCCATAAGATTAGGCTGTGAACAGACCTGTGGGTGGGGCCATTCCTGGGTTGTGGTCCTGGGTCCTATAGGAGAGTAGGCTAAGGAAGCCATGGGGAGCAAGCCAGTAAGCAGCACCCCTCCATGGCCTCTGCCTCAGCTCCTGCCTCCAGCTTCCTGCCCTGCTTGAGCTCCCTTCCTGACTTCCTTCAGTGATGTGGAAGTGTAAGCCAAATAAACCCTTTCCTCTCCAACTTGGCTTTTGGTCATGGTGTTTCAGCAAAGCCATAGTAATCCTAAGACACCGAGGCGTGAACTCAGGTCACCTATACAAGCTGAGCCGTCTCACTGATCCCACATTACTGTTAAAAATTCTGAGTACGTTTATTCGTTTATTTAATGTGCACACACGTGCGTGTGGTGCTTGCTACAGCACATGTATGGAGATGCAGGAGCCAGGGGTGGAACTCAGATCATCAGGCTTTTTCTACAATCACCTTTACCTGCGGAGCCATCTTGTCTCCCTCAGCGTTACCGTTAAGGTCACTAAAATGATTGTCTTCCTCCCACACATCTCCTGTAATGTGTATTTTTGAAAACCTTTCTCTGCCACCTTTGTGGATTTGGAGGCTAAAATGAACTTACTCTTGGCAAAGTCTTGCGTGGTGTGCTCATTTGTACCTAAAAACAAAAACAAACAAACCACCAACAAGATAACTTGTGGATCTGGTTTTCTTAAACAAACAAGAAATTTATCAGAAATAAGAGAATGCAGCTCTCAAGCTCTGTCACTGAATTTCGAAAGCAGAGAATTCTGTCACAGGTGCACTAGCTTATATCAAGTCCTGACTCATTTCCGAGCGAACACTACCCGCACGGCCTAGCAGATTTTATTCAGGAAGGGTTGCAGTCTCTTCAGTGTGTTATTTTTCTCATAGACGCTGGTGACTCTTTTCCCCTTTTGTTCAGCTCTGTCATCAGAGGTACGTCCAGATATGACAATGCAAGGACTAAGAACGTATACCTGGTTTTGAAGTCCCGCACAGTTCCTGAATTCTCCGCAACGCTGAGGCTTATCTCTGGGCGCCATACCGTCTTATCTGAAGTTCTCTTTCTTTCCTCTTCCCGAGAAGATTTATAACCCAGAAAAGCCTCGCCATGATTTCCCCTTCCAAAATTGTATTCTGGTCGTTTTAATTTGTCACATGCCCTCTGTCGGCTCCAAGTATGCCGCTCAGTAATCTACAAATGCCCAGGGTGTGTTTTCCTTTGCAGGCACCACTGGCCTTATCTTTGCTGTTCCTGATATAGAACGTTAATAAATTTCAGGTTATTATATCAATGCAAAGTTTTAGTAAAGGCAGGCTGGGGACCGACCAGATACAGAGAAATGGACAAGCAGTGTGTTCCTGCGATGCCACAGGGAATTAGACTTAAAGTCTAGGATGGGGATGGGATAGGAAAATAGGCGTTGTAAAAGTTACTTTTTTTTTTTTTTTAAAGAAAATTCATACGTGACACTTTCAGGCCGAGCTCTAAGAGTGACAGTCTCTCTTCAAAAGAACCCTTCTCTCTATTTACTATCTTGTGTATTCACAGGCACACACCTTCCAACACGAGGTGGACAAGATGATGGATGACAGGAGGTTCAGGGTCTCCAGGGGACCATCCTGAGGGCAAGGTGAGGGAAGCACGCCTGCTCCGGAGAGCGAAGGAAACACACTTGCTCCGGAGAGCAAAGAAAGCGGTCCTCCTCAGTCCTCATCCCTGGGGGAGCCGGGAGATCCGTGGAGGATGCCGTGTCCTCCCTCAGCGAGCCTGACGGCCCGAGCTTAATCCCTGTGCCTTGGGCATGGAAGGAGACAAATGACTCTTGCAGGCTATCTCTCACTTCTACATGTTCACTGTGACACACTCGCCACACACACACACACACTCACACACACATGTACACACACCACATACATGCACACACACAAACATCACCACATGCACACCATATATATAAATGCCACAAACACACACACACACACACACACACACACACACACACACACACACACA